AAAACCAGGGTCAAGGGTGACAATGAATGATGCGCCTTGGAATCGGTTACACCCAGGCAATGCCGCATCTTTTAACTCCCAATAAATCCTTTTGGAGTTTGGCTAGAGACTCATGATTTAAATGAGGTTATGTGCCGGAATCCTGACAGCAAGGTCCTTTCCAACTCTGCTACCGTGAGACTTGTCAACTAACGTTCAGTACTAAATTGGTACTAGTGTCGACAGAAATCAAGAGAGGTTGGAGTGTGAAAGTCATGACTCTCTAGGCTAATGACTTGCTTGCCTCCGCCCGCCCCCATCCCTGCCTGCTCTTCTCCTACACAAACCAAAGAAAACACATTCGCAAACGCAAAACAGATGTAAACCCCGCGCTTTAAAAATAAACCTTCCAGCTAAGGCCATTTGAGAAAGAAAGCGACCTCTATAAGAGCTAGTAAACAAAGAAACCTCAGTCACCAGATAATCCAGGCTAAAGAAGGGGCATTCCAGAACAGTGGACAAACGTTTCTTTTATAGAAAAAGGCCTGCTGCTTTGGGCTCTGATGGAGATGCACTGAAAGCCCTTTGTTCCTTAGCAATGCAAATTATTGTACCATTGTTTGTTTGTTGACACACTTTTCAGATTGTCTCCCCCCAAAAAAACAGACAACGTGTTCCTATCAGCAATTCGTTTTAACATTCTCTTGAATGATGCTAAGTGTTCTTGAAGGATTTTTGTAGCCCGAGATAGTCCTTATCTGTAAGAAATGTTTTTTCCACCCCCCCTAGCTGCACAACACCCCTCCCCGTGCAACCAACAATCGTTGTGGCTCTTGTTGTGCTTGTTATTACAGATGCTGAATCAATTCCAAAGCTTCCCTCATGTCCTGGAGGGATCTTTCTCCTTATTGATTAGTTTTTCCAGCAATTCATTATTTACAACCAGCTAATCCGAAGGAGCACATCATATTAGGTACACAGAATCAGATTCCCCCATTGCAGTTAAAGGTTAGTGTTTCAAAATGTTTGAGCAATCAATTATAAACCTGATGCTCGGGGCGCTTTTATTTAATGAAGGAAAATAATGTCAAAAACTAACCTTAGCAGATACATGCACGCACCTGCAAACGAATATTCTGTTCCACTCCATAAAACATTGGGCAATCTGCGTTACAGGTAGTTCTCAACAGACAACGGTTCATTTTAGTGACCGTTCACAGTTACAACGGCACTGAAAAAAGGTTTTTCACACTTATGACCCCTGGAACATCCCCATGGGCACTTGATCAAAATTCAGAAGCTTGGCAACTGACTCGTACTTATGACGGTTCGAGTATCCTGGGGTCATGTGACTTTCTGACAAGCAAAGTCCGCGGGGAAAAGCCAGATTCACTTAACAACCAGGTCACTAACTTAACAACTGCAGTGATTCGCTTAACAGCAGTGGCAAAACAGGTCACAAACCTGGCACAGCTCTCTTAACAAATGCACGACGGAAATTCAGGTCCCGACTGCGGTTGTTAAGTCAAGGAATACCTGTACTCCAACAGGAAACAAACCTTTTCGGATAAAATTTATTGAGATAAATCCCAGAGGTGCTTCTCCAAAAGACAATTAAACTTTCTTGGATATTTTTCCCTTGAAAATATTTCGCTTCTCATCCAAGAAGCTTCTTCGGTTCTTGGATGAGAAGTGAAACATTTTCAAGGAAAAATATCAAAAAAAAAAAAGGTCCAGTTTTCTTTCAAAAAGGACCTTTGGAGCAACTATGGCCTGAATAATTGAGTATCTCCATAGTTATTTAAATAAAGCTATCTTCCATGGCTTAGAGTTCACCAGATAGTGACTCTGCTGTTCTTTAGCAAACATGACCTCAGCCAGCTAAGTCCAATTCACACATACAAAACGCACAAATACTTCAATAAACAACAGCCCAAATCGTGCCCACAAAGCAGGATTTTGAAACACCCAAAGATTCAGCTACTCAAGAACCGAATGCAACCCAACCCATTTGTACGGCAAAGAGCTGTGCACAGACACACACAAACACTGCTTCTATAGTTCTCCCTTATTGCAGCATCCTTGCCCACAAAAGGCCCCAAACCTGTGGGAAGAAATGGCTGCATTCACACAACATCTTTCATTGGGTTTGCGAAGTCTCGCCATTTTTCGGGTTGTGCATTACACCAAGGTGCAGTACATTACTCCAAGTGGCTTGGCTTGACCAGATCTAAGCCATCTACCCAAATCTTTCCCTAAAACCCATCTAGCCAAAACCTATGTTGTCATTGTGAGTGCTGTCTTGGGTTAACTCCCTTTTTTATGAACTCAACTGTTCCTTCCTTAGCTCCCCTACAAGGTAACACAATCAGTAAAGGATCCTGTACTTCCAACAAAGCAAACCACAGAATTTTATTCCATATTCCAGCAAAGCAAAAACACAGGTGTCTGATATCTGCACAAAACCTCATGGGACACATTTATGCATGCAAAACAAAAGCCCTAGGAACTGTATTTTCAAATTATGTTCATATACTCACACATATTGCCTTCTTAAAATGCACTTTTAAATAATTAGAATACAGAAAATAGGTACCTTTCCAATTATTTTTAAACTAAGCTACCCAATTTATGTTTATCATAATATTGAACAACCTTAAGTTCCATAAATTAGTGAGCTGGGTAAAAAGTTACTTTTAAAAATCATATTGATTTGACTGGCTTTTATGAGAAACCCAAAGAGAACCGTCATTCTCTCGGGCGTAAGTGAAATGTTTGGGCGCAACTGCTCTCAAGTCAATAACCTGCTTGCAAATATGCCAAAGTTTTTGTGCAATTTTTTTTTTCTCATGAAACTTTAATTTCATTTCCAAAATTAAAGTACAAACCTCAAAAGAAAACAAGAGCCAAGCAAAAGCAAAGATGACGAGGAAAAAAAAACCTGCATAAAAAGGAATTAAAAAAAAACAACATACACATGGATTGTCCCTCCTGGTTGAATATATTTCAACAATAGTAGTTTCTCTTCTGCCCACTCCACCCCGTGCAAAGCCAAAGCCACAGTTAATGAACTTCTGATATTTGCACAATTTTAATGCCACCCTCTCTCTCTCCTGCTCACTTACCTCGTCCATGCTGAATATGTTAGTTTTGTTTCTCTCTGCTCGCTGCAGCTTTGGCTTTTTCACCAACACAGGACACACCCATGCACATACAACCGCTCCCCCCCCCCC